TCTTAAACAGATGCAGTTAACTTGATAGCTAACTAAATAGAACAACCTTCTCATTCTTAATGCTCAGATTGGCTGTTTACATCTGTAACTTTGTGAAAATAGCCATCAATGAGCTCACTAACTATGTATAGCATTTCATTTAGCTGATGGTGTTATCCAAAGCATCTTATAATAAGTGCATTCAACAAGTAAAACAACAATTGTAAGTCAAACCATTGTAATCGCTACTGCATTGGCTTCGATTAAGCCAAACATTTGAATCGTACAGATTTCTTTTTTCTTTGGCCAAGGTGAAGTAGAGACAAGTGGGCTTCAGTTCGCAGTGGAACATGTGTAGACTTTCTGCTGTCCTGGTATATACTCCATTTGGAGCCAGGGTGGCACACAGGCGTGTTTAACGATGTCCTGGATGTAGGAAAGGCCTGATACATTACCAGCACGGTAGTCCAGAACAAATTGGAAATGATGGCAGTGATTCAGAGGTGTTGATTCAGAAACGTTCTGAAAAAAGGGCCGAGTCTGGAACAGGTTTGGGAACCTACAAACGTTTGCCATGTACCCACCAAAACCTATCATGGTGTTGGTTGTGATGTTGAATACTTGTGTGGTCTAATTAACATTTCAGTCCCTAAGGGCCACATAGAAAACAACATAGCTTTGTTTGGATGTGTCAATGCCTGAAGCTATATTGTACTTTGAGATAAGTTCAATTCATAACAATCATGTCTCTTTGGGTTTTAAGGAACAGTTAGCTTCTAACACAGGCTCTCTGGAGACACGTGGTTTTAAACCCAAGATTAAAGTTTTAGACATGCAGCAAAGTAACACTGAGGATAAATATTTCAACATTATGCATTCACAGCCCCACTTTTTTCACCAGCAATTATTCATGCAGAGTTCTGAGGGCTGTGAAGCCTGAAGGCCAGGGGTGACAGCAGCTCCCAGGGCAAAGCATTCATTTCAGAAGTCATGTTGGAGAGGACAGTAATTAACTCTCTCTGCTGTCCTTTCTCTGGCCTCCATCCATCATAAGTAGGCATGTTAAGAGATCTTACTCCCAATGCCACAAGGACTACATGATTCATATATTTACAATGTGTACAAAAAGTGTGGAATGTACCATATGGGCTGTCCCTTTAGAGCCCGTACTCATCAAACATGCTGCTGTTGGTGGCCTGCAGGGACCTGGGCTAAAAACTGTGTGCTGTATCCAGAGACCCAAATTAATTAATGCATTTTTGATGTTATCATATGGGGGCATGTAACACAAATGTGTCACCTAACACAGTCCTAACCTCATTCTGAAATATTAACAGTGTTTCTTATTAGTTTGGGCTATCTAGACTGAAGACTAGTTATCTAATCATAATCAGACACCAATATAAACAACGTTTTAAATATTGACTACTGTTTGAAAAGTGTTGTTCATCTAAAAGGTGTGACGTGCAGTATAATTCCTTTAATTGCAAATACAGGCATACAATCAGTTATGAACAGTAACCATTCCTTAGGCTTGATTTCTATATTTGTCAGTCTTTCTACAATTCCCCCTATTGGTTGCCTGTATACTTGAACAGAGTCATTCCAAAAATAACCGCCAAACATAGAGCCGTCACTTGCAGAACAATGCTACGGCGTTAGGAACAGTATAGACAGTCAAGACTGCTTTCCAGTGAAACACTGAATTGTCCTTGGCAATAATTGCTTATTTAGATTTAATCAAATGTGTGCTTTGCCAGAATGCTGCAAATGTGCATCTCAGTATAAAAGGCTCAATTGTACCTTCTCAGGGATTCTTTTGATTTAAAAAGTTAGTACAAACATGTTTATATACATGTAACTTATGATAGCAATTTAAGTCCTTAAAGGTTCTACATGCTTCCAAACAATGATCAAATATTTGATGTTGCTGAAACTAAAACCACCCAGATGTCACCCCGTTATCCTAAACTAGGATCAGCCAGGTCAGAGGCGGGACCTTAGTTTGAAGCTCTTTGTTGAGTTAGCCCGACTTTGGTTTATAGGTGCAATTTAATCATAAATGTTCATATTAAATACAGGGTTCAAACACAGAATTGTAATAAACTGTAATGCAATACATTAAGTATTGGACACAAAAATGGTAGATTAATGTTATTCTGCCTGCACTTGCTTTAAACTGACCGGTCAGAGCCCCCCTTGAGCTAACACACTCAATAATATATGGACATCCAACCGTTTATTAGGCATGACAAGAACAAGAAAATGAATGAAACAGGACTTAAGAGCTTTGGTGTGTAAGCCAACATGAAAGAGTAAAAGATGGGGGTTCCCTTGATACCGATAAATGCCATTGGCTACAAAGTCCTGATAGTGTAGCCTCTTACAGAGAGTGGGATGACCCAAAGTAGGGGGCAGGAGGGGGGGGTGGTAAACTTTATTTGTATAGCCCAATATGAGGGTGTCAATGCACTGATCCACCAGTCGGAAGGTCAGTGTATCAATCCCAGCAGTCAACATATTGAAGTGTCCTTGGGCAATATTCTAAACCCAAAATTGCTCCCGTAGTCATGTCTATGGTATTGAACTGTATGGAATTGGATAAAAGCACTGCTAAATACATTGTAATGTAACGTAAAATGAATCACCCTCAGTTACATTGATCACAATACCCACTGAACCCCCCCCCCCCCCTAACCTATAGCTGAATGCTAATGGATGCCACACCACACAGTCAACATCATACCAACGAAAACAACAACAAAGGCTCTGGGGAAAGAGCAACAGAAGCCATTCAATCAGACATGAAGGTCAGCCACCCTCCGACAACCTTCCTCAACCCTGACACCTGTCACCTCTATGTGACAGGGCAGTCAAACACTTTTGAAAAGGCTTTTCAACAAGGCAACAAAGCTACAATCAGCCAGAGAACATCAGTCAATGCTGCAGACATGTGCTTTTGTCTTCATGAGGCTGGCATGTGTGTTTGTGCAACTCTGTCCCCAGCAAACAGACTTCATCCATGAACCTGACAGGAAACTCAATTGTCCGGCAGATTGTCGGGTTGGTCTAGTAAACATCCCCATCCCAAGATCATGTTAACCTTTTCTTTGAGGTTTTGGACTAAAAAAAACAACTTGTTGATAATTGCTTGTGTCATCTGATGAGTTGTTGAAGATTGATTCATTTCATTGCAAGTAAACACCAGTGTTCAAGAACTCCCACTTCTCTTACCTTTGGATTTTTCCTCTTACCCATCTGTCTATAAGAAGTCGAGTTTGTGCATCAGCCTCACTGTCGAGCTTTGATCCTGTTCCTCCTGTAGTCCACCATGACCATGTCAAAGTCAACTTTATTGTCAATCTTTCAGTTGACAGTGTAGATTGCTAGTCTATGCAATTAGATTATTTACATAATTAATGTCCCAACAATTGCTGTTCAAAGCGTCTTGCCTTGTTCCTTAGTGGACAAGTTTCATCCAAAAATATGTACCTAAAGGGAAAAAAGAACACTAACACTGTCAGAGTGTGATAACTTTCCACATGTGCGAACCATACAAAACAAATCTTGTAAATTGGCAATAATGAAAAGATGGACACTTTTAAACAGGGAGAAACTTTAATGACATAAGTAGTGTAAGAGGAGGTTTATGTGACATAACCCTAATCCTAGTGGTATTAAAGACCTTTAGTGTGTCGTTTATTAAAGTAGAGCAATCTGGTGCATGTAATAGGGCTGTGCATCTTCACTGGTCTCACAATTCGATTACGATTATCCTGTCACCGATTCGATTCGATATCCCGATGCATCACGATTCATACCAATGCGTTGCATCCTCAATTTTCTATATTACTGCACATGGCTTCTTTTTTATCAATGAATACATGCAGTAAATACATATGAACTCCCTTTTTATTATTTAGAAAGTGCTTCAGAAATCAATAACATAAATGTCTTGACATTAATTTATAAACCAAAATAAATCAATTGCATAGCTCTAGCATCCCTATACAGTATCTGTGTGTGAAATTGTTCCATCGTCGAAAACAAAAAACCATACTTCTGCAGTCTAGCTGCAGCTTCTAGCAACGGCCTTCTGTTAAAGAAGGACACTGAATGTCCTGAATGTGGCATCACTAACATGACTTGAGTCTGAACACAGCAGACAACAGGAGTATTTACAACAGCATATAACAACTAAAATAGTGCATGTGGGTGCACACTTACATCCTCTGTCTTACTGTTGCATAAATCCCATGATTGTAGGGGATTAAATTAGCTTCATCATATCTCAATCAGTGATTAAGTGAATAATAAAGTTTCTATCAGGTCACTATCAGCCTGTCACTCATTATTTTCAGGGAGGGGGCGGGGTTTGGAGCAGCAGAGAGGAGACGGTGATCGCGGAAGCTTTCCTCCTGCCTTCACAAACTTTACACACGTATATATCGTCTGAAAATAGCAAGAGGACATTCATACTCTACAATCCAAGACTTAACTAAATCTACCAAAAACCTGACATGATTGTAACGCGAGTATTTCTTTAAAACATAAATCCCTGTGTGTCTGAGCCGCAGCGACACGGAGTGATCCAGAGCGGGTCCTTCTGCTGTTGGTTCTGGACTGGTGTTCTTGTGTTGGTGGATAAAGCAGACTGCTCCGTGTTTTGTGTTGCTGTGCCGCTGTAACGTCTGTTCCCTGATCTCTGCGTCACCGACCGATTTGATATTAAAGTGACAGGAAAAAACACGTTATTGTAAAGCCGCGGCCGTAAAATCAGGAAGCAACGTTAATACGCTATAATCGATTATGTTCTGTCACTGCATCGATGCAGAATCGTCCACGTCCGCATCGCGATGCATCGTAGAAACGATTAATTTCAACACCCCTAGCATGTAAGGTTGTTAACACACTGCTCAGCTTGGTTAACCACCTTTTAGCATGAGCTTATTAAACATCCACGTTAGAGAGTGGATGTACAGTACCATTTAAAAATAATTGTTTAAATGCATGTCATCCAGTCCCTCTTCCTCTGTCCCTCTCAGATGTGCAGCATATTAAACAGAGGGACATCATTCTGAAGAGGGAGCTCGGAGAAGGAGCCTTCGGCAAGGTCTTCCTGGCTGAGTGTTACAACCTGAGCCCCACCAAGGACAAGATGCTGGTCGCTGTAAAGGTAAGAGAAGGAGTTTTGTGAAGTTAAAGGCTCCATTATTACACTCTTATTCTGCTCTGATATTTTTTTTCATTAACCGTCTCTCCTGGTTCTGTAAAGTAAATCAGTTAGTTTTAAGTGTTGTCTTGAAGATGTGTCATTCAGTTTGAACAGACTTATACAAAGCAAAGTAAATTCAATTTAAAACTAAATTCAACAAACAGCGCCCATCAGTTATGTATCACCTACTGACACAAAATACATTCAGGTTTCAGCTGACAAATAATATTTCCAAAGATGATCTGCATCGTGTTCAAAGAAAGAAAGTGTCACAACCAGCCACTCTTGCAATTCTACCAGTAAATACAGCATTATGTAATTAAATGGTAAACATATTTTATTTTCAGTATTTAATAAACATACCGCTATACTGGTGTTCAAATGAAGCCACCATTAGTCTTTTGATTAGTTAATTGAACAGTCTGTAATGATTTCCTACCATAAACTATAACTAGCTAGGTAGCTAACAGTGGGCACAACAGCAGTGTGTAAGTTAACAATACCAGGTTGAACAGTGTACAACATGCACTGTATTAAGGAAAGTGTTTGAATATAATGGTGATATAGCCCCGCATTTTTTATTAAATAGTCCCGGTTCTCAAGAGATATATATATATATACAACATAAGTAATATCTATGTAAAAAATAGCTGTTTATTCATCCGTCATACAGACCATACATTAAAGCCGTACTTTTGGGTCCTCTCTGTGTGTCATTCAAGCTTGGTGTGTGTGTCACAAACACATTTTGTAAGTTCACCGGTAATGAGATTGTTGTTAGCATCTGGTGGAGCTAGCTATGCTAACACAGATATCATTTTCAACAAGAGTTCTCTCCTGTTGAGTCAGAGTCAGTCAGGAAGTGAGAGAACTCTGCCTCAGATAACGCTATTGCTCAGGTTATTGATGTAAAATACTCTTTGAGTAGCTAGTTAAAGTTAGCTCAGTTGTTTTCAAACGTTTTCGCATTGCTGTTCAATTTTGGAGTATACAAGTGCAATTCAATCTGAAATATGTGAAGTGTTCTGCACAAGTGAAAACTATAGGAAAGTAAATCTGACGCTAACGCTATGAGAAACGCTGATATGGGTTATACGGCATGGATTGGATTACTATTATGACATATGTTGAAGACATGGAATCCGCTGTTAGTTACAGAGGCAGTTATTAATAGAAACATGGCCGCCACATTGACCTGCAGCAGAAAGGTGTTCATTTTACTGAGGATTTAGAGGGATTACAGCTGGCCAACCAGCTCTATCCAACACACACACACACACACACACACACACACACACACACACACACACACACACACACACACACACACACACACACACACACACACACACACACACACACACACACACACACCATTTGTATAAGGTGTGTGTTTTCATTCCTGTAATAGTCCTTTTCTAGCACAGCCTTTTTTTTGTTGGACGATACAAAGACTCAGAAATAATAGCATTAACGAGTTACGGTTATTTTAAGACCACTTTATTCCACTTATATAATGACAACATAATAGCATCAAAAAAGTAAGTACATACTTTCCAAGAGCTATGAATACAAATATGTTATTGAGACATAAGAGTTGGATTGTCAAAAAAAATATTATAATATCTTAAAATGACATCTATATATATTTAATATAACCATAATTATACATTATTCTCCTTAGCCTATCACCAACAATTATGTCAGAGCGATAGCCAACAGCAACGGTGGTTATAGTGATTTTAGCCTTTGCAGACCCTTTACATGCATAAAAACCTATATAACATACTACAGGAAATGTGTTTAATGTGGGATCTAAAGGACATATCTTGTTTACATTCAAATGTCCTCATGACCGTTGCCTGTTTACACATCAGAATATGTTATTTTAAATATTTATTTGTCTGCCTCATTCTTTTGCCCAAGCCTCTTTTATATTTCACTGTTTTCTCTCAACTCAAATGTTGCCATTAGAGGGAAGCAACATTGTAATGAAGGTTGGTTCAATACAGAGGCACTTTGTTAGCATTACCAATGTTAAATGACACTATAACAGACAGCAGCTCAGTGTATGACCTCCCAGAGTTAACAAGAGCTGAGATGAAGGAAAACAAGAGCAGACAGGGGAAAAAAGAAGATAAGTGAAGGAGGTGAACAACAAGGTAACCATGGCAGCAGTACTGCTATTAAAGCTATCAACAGTAATCTTAGTGCCATTCACTGAAGAAGAATATGGTGCCTGCTCTCCTCAGTCAGATTGTTTGACTCAGTCAGAAAGTTAAGCACACTGTGTTGCTAGAGGAAGGACTGAGATGTGTTTGTCTGTTAATAAAGTTAGGTCAAAGTGTGATGGGGCTGAATGGAGAAATAAAAAAGGTGATGAAGAAAAACCAAGCAGATTGTCGAAGTGAGCATGGCATGATGACATGTAAAGTCAATGCAAAGACTCGGGGAACACAAATTCACGCTGATGACGCACATTTCAAATCACTTGCAAAGTTCAGCTTTTTCAACACCAATCAGCGTTCCTCATATTTGCACAGAAATTGGAAAAACATTGTTGTGTATAAACCACAGATTGTCTATGGCATGGCAAATACAGTTGCTACTTTATTTATATGACATTATTTTGAGTATGGACGGAGCAGCTACAACGGTAGCTTAGCCAAGAGTGATCTATCCCATCTCTATTCAGAAAACAAAAATGTTACGTTTTTCTCAAAAATGAATCAAGCCTTGGTCACCATATAAATACATTAAGAGTGGGAATAACATCTTAAGTGTAAATCATGGCTCCCCTAGGTATCTTTCTCTCTTTTTGGCCATTCCTGGTTGTAATATTGGCCTTTTAATTAAAAAGTGGCATAAAGACATAAAACAGAAACATCAAAACAACATTATCGTGTGTTTTCGCTCTCTTTGAAAATTCTTTGATATATCACTTTCAACTCTCCTTTCTAAAGGTTGCTTTTCTCTTCCCTTCATTTTGCTCCATTTGACTGTCACTAAATTGCAGGTTTTACTGCTACAATTTTGTACAAGTTGTATCATGCTTCACTGCAGATGTTGATGTAAAAGTGAGCGATTTGTAATATAACTGAAGGAGGGATAAAGAAAGGAAGGGATCCACTGTAACATGCCCTCTCTTTTCCCCCAGACTCTGAAGGACCCCACTCTTGCAGCCAGGAAGGATTTCCAGCGTGAGGCCGAGCTGCTGACCAACCTCCAGCACGAGCACATCGTGAAGTTCTACGGAGTGTGTGTGGACGGAGACCCTCTCATCATGGTGTTTGAGTACATGAAGCACGGAGATCTCAACAAGTTCCTCAGGTGAGTTCAGACAGGCGACAGGTGGTGGAGGAGGTATGCTGAGAAGTAACACTATGACAGAGAATGCTTGCTAAGAGTAAAACTATCCTAAAGGATTAGTATTCCTTTTATCTGGGCACAAAGGTTCCATCTCTAATGTTGAAACCTAGATTTGTCCAAAAATGATGTGAGCATTAGGTAAGGGGATAATGTGCAGCCGCTTATAACACAGCTACCCAATAAATAAACCAACAATTTCATTCAAAATATTGAATACAAAATATTTTATTGATTTTAAAATGAATGATTGCATTCATTCCGCAAAATAATTTGTTCCACTGGGTACCAGAGGCTAGAATGGCAACGACAGCATTGTAACTTAAAATTACAGCAGCACTGATGGAGGTTTTCTGTAAATGTCCAAGTCTGTTCACATTTTGTTTCCCATTAACAAGTCCTCAAACACTGCAGAGCCCATACCGTGGCCGTTTCTCAATGTCGAGTAAACCTGCTGCAGAGCCACTATTTCAAGTATTCTACGTCATCGAGTGGCGCCGAAGGACTGTTTAAATGCATGTTAAATGCCCAGCATTCGGCGCCACTCGATGACGTAGTATACTTGAAATAGTGGCTCTGCAGCAGGTATACTCGACATTGAGAAACGGCCCGTGTTCCTTTTGGTGTTTACTTCCTGTCTGTCTTCTTCTGCTGTTCCTTTTAGTGTTTGCTTATATACTTCCTGTTTCTCATGCTGAATTTTCTGACGTTGTTTAACCTCTTTCCTTCTCCTGCGCTGTTTTACTTTTCTTCACTGGGGACAGTTCAGCCATCATGAATCCAAAGTTTCAAGCTCTTGACAAATATCAAAGTGAATATTTAAAACATATTCCATGTTATTTACTGATGGATGAAAATTAATGTTCGTTGTCGACAGCATGAATGTTCAAGTATTCAACTAAGCTGTGTAATGTGTCATTTTTATTATTACTCATTAAAAGACCTCATGAAACACATTGGTATTAAAGGCTTTAAGGACACTCCCAGTGGTTTTAAACCATCCTTGAAAAAGAGATATTTTGATCTCAAGGGGCTTTCACCTGGTTAAATAAAGGCTACAAACTTAAACTTACAAATTTAAGCAAGCTGCACTAAAAGCTTCAAATGCATGTTTCCTTCCTTCCAGGGGCCGTTGGTATGAAAATAAATTAGCAAAATCACTAAATGTTAGTTTGAAAATACTCGAAGTACTGCTGCAATTTCCTAATCCTTCATGGTCCTGCATTTGCATGCTGGAGTGAAAATCTAATTACACCTTATTTGTAACGGTGTATCATAACTAAAGATTCTTAATCTACAAAGTAATTAGTAACTACAGATCAATCTAGTGGAGTGAAAAGTACATTGTTGTATCAACCTTAATACAGTGCATAAATGTTGACCCGGCTCATGAGACATGACAAAAAAAGGGAGATAAACGGGATATACTCCAAAAAGTGCCAATTTATTAAAGAAAATAAATGATTGCTCAAAAGTATGGAGTGTTTAAATCAGTATTGGATGATAAGTGGAGGGGTGTTGGTACAAGGTGAGGTAACTAAACTAACAGCATGGCCAGAGCCAAGCTAAAAAACAAATAAAGTGCCTTGTTGTCTTAACACTTAAAGGAAGTTTGGGGAAGCATGCCACAAGCTCTTTAAGCATCTGTGTGTTAGAGCACACGTCTGACTAACCTGTCCTGACATTCTGACCGGGCCTCTGTTTGCTTGATTGTGACAATTTAGAACTTTGTTACTTCTAAACAGTGACCAAACTTTCCCTCATTCAACAAATAAGTCTAAAAGGTGTGCAGAGGTCAACACGAGGCACAGCTTGTAGACACAGAGTGATGGATGGGCCTGTCTCAGTGAATCACTGCAGGTTGATGCTTTCTTTCTAAACCTTGTCACCAGACTACAACCTTGATAAGTACTTCTTACGTTACGTTCCTTCTCTAAAGGAAAAGCCCCTGCAGACTACTGCCAGGCTGTTTATGAAAAATGATTTGGGGGTCTGCCTGTCATGAAGTTCTAAATACAAATGACTGATTCTGATCCACCATCAAATATTGTTCCCAGAGTGAGTTTGCCTTCCTGTGAGGGCAAGTGTGAGTGATGAATAAGCCAGTTGACAGTCTGGAAACCTTTCCACCCAGAGCATTATGTAACATGCTGTTAGCTTTAGGTACAAATAATCTGCTTTAGCTATCACATGGGGATTGATGGCTGAGACAAAGGAAATAGACTGATACTAATGTCTTGTTTTAGTGCAAATCAGTAGGAGTTCAGAGAACGGGAGGCATCCTTGGGTTCAAAGTAATTGTTTCCTTCAACAGTTTAGTCCATTGCTATAATTCCACACAACACAAATAATGGATAGCAAATATTCACCCCAGTCTACACCACAAACGCATCCTAATGAGAATGAAACACTTAAAATACTGGAAATAAACATTGCCTGTGTTGCCACAATTGATTGGGCAATCCTCCAGTACCAGTAATTAGTGATGTCATTATGTAAACAAAGGAGTCCAATGGAGGACTTTCTGGAAAGGGGGACTGTGTGGGAGAAATAGAAGGAACAAATAATAATTCTAATCAAGTGTACATATCCTTGCATATATAATATACAATAAAGTATATAAGATATTGTTGAGAGGTTGAGTGTTTAATTCAGGAGTTTTTGTTGATATTCTGGAGCTGTGCATCTGTCAGAGATGTCCTACAAGATTGAAACATCAGTGGACCGTTATTGAAAGCATGACTTTATTGCTATGTTATAAATAATAAATAACTCTGTAATCAAGTGCCCCAATAGTGAATGCACTGGGTAAATACAGCTTCTTTACAATACATGAGCTGTTCATTTGGGAGTCATTAGATGAGAATTTATTTTGGTCCTGGGGTTCTAACCTTAGTTATTTATTAACAGAAAAAGGTCCGACTCTGCAGCCTTACCTGCTCATTGCCTGCAAGCTGCTCTGGATGAGAGCACAGGCTAAATGCCCGAGTTGTAAATTGCGGTTGGTAAGCTAATGAGCTGCATTATGTCCGCTGCGATTAGATGCTATTTGCTCCCAGGACGCTTTGCCCTGCAGAATAGAACATTGGTACTTAGTCCGCAGCCTGGAAGCAAAGTCTACCTGCTCCACTGTCTCTGTCCCTCGGATGCTAATTTCAGCTCAGTCATTTTGTTTCCATTACATACTGCTAAATTAGCCAGCAACCGTTGCCCTCCAAAACCGCCATGCTCTCTCAGACACACACACATACACACACACACACACACACACACACACACATACACACACACACACACACACACACACACACACACACACACACACACACACACACACACACACACACACACACACACACACACACACACACACACACAGGTCTTCTGAGCTCACTGCCTGTCCTTCCTCAGTCACTGTACCAAGCCAACATGGAAGTGCGGCGGACATTGAAGCTAATTTCTGTAGAGGTACTACAACTTATGTTGACTTTCTTACGGAAAGAGACGTCTGTGAACCAGCATGTATTTTGGTTTAGCTAAATCAACTACCCAGTACCAACACTTGAATATCCTTTATTTAAATCAATAGGATCTTCTAGCTGTACAAAAGAAACCTCACAATATGGCCATTTTGGCTTCATGCACCACTGAGCAACTTTCATTGGAATAAATGAGCCCACCTCCAACACTGTATCCAGTTCTCTTTATACATGCACTGTAACCCATTGCTCCATCCAAAAATGACATACTATTTGAACCTAATGGTCACCACTGTGCCACATCACTGACGCTCAAACAAAGTGCCACTGGCTAGAAGATATTTAGACGGTTCATTCTAGATGAATCATCATAAAGTAGACTGTGAGTGAGTCTCTTACTCACACTCAGTTACAAATCATGGAATGAGGGAAGTTTTTTTGGCAACTCTGTCCTCTATTGCGAAGATGTCCCTCTATCAGGACCATATCTATGGCCAGATCCAAGAGCCTGGTTAAAGGGTGCTTTGTGAATCTGGCAGAGCTAGTGTTATAGCTGCTGGATTTGACCCCCCCTCTGTAACTTTGGCCAGGATGGTCATCATTTCACCAAAATCACGCTGGTGTGTCTTATCCCCCTGTTGTTTAAGCAAACAAAAGCAATTTACTTTGAGCCTATCAGGTGACAAAATAAAGGGAGTGCTTCTAAATCTGGCAGAGCTGGCATTGTTGCTGCCGGATTTGGCCCCCCCTCTGTAACTTCGGTCAGAATGGTAAAAATCTAACAAGAATCACACTGGTGTGAGTTATTTCCCTCTTGTTTACGCAAACAAGAGCAATTGACTCTTGAGCCTATAAGTGAAATATTTACACCATGCTTATATTATTTGACTACTTACAGCCTGCACCGTACCCACTATACTTCCACATGCATTTTGACATTGTATGAACATAGACTGAACCAGTCCAACAAATAATCCAATGAAATCACACCGTATACTGTATGAAATATCATAGGGTCGTTTTTGAAGTCGACAGCCATCTTGGTGCTGATGCCACCCATCTTTTACTAATGCACAATATTTAGAGTAGGGAAATTAGCTTTAGAGACCAAAACACTTTTTGGGCTGCACAATTCAAACATGTGAAGTTCTGTTGTAAAGTTGGAGATGAAAGTTAAATAAGTAACTTTTATCTTTGGTTATTAAAGAAAAGTGACCAACCAAGGTACTAAAAGAGACATATTAAAGTGTGATTTATTTTTTTAAAACAACAGCGATTGTGAACTGAAATATGAATCGGTAAGCATTCACAAAAAATTGCAAAAATAAAAATGCAATATATTATGAAAAGGGTTTGTCTTTGGGTTCGAACCATTCCAGTGCGGAAGTCTCTGACTTGTTTTTTCAATGAGCCAAAATTATTTTCACTAATATTTAAACAATGGCTGCTAAAAGGAAGGAAATCAAATTGGTTGTGTGTTTTTGAAAGTTGTCAGCAGTCATTTGCAATATACCCAATCTAGAGGTAATGGGCAGCCATATCACCGTTTAAAAACAAAACTGTTAAGCTACCTTAGACTGCCTGATTATGTCTCATACCTTCTCTGATCCAAAGTATTTCCTACGCTCACTCTCTACCTTCTCCCTCAGAGCCCACGGACCGGACGCCTTGATCCTGGTGGACGGACAGCCTCTGCAGACCAATGGGGAGCTGGGTCTGTCGCAGATGCTTCACATAGCCAGTGAGATTGCAGCTGGGATGATCTACTTGGCGTCTCAACACTTTGTGCACCGTGATCTGGCAACAAGGAACTGCTTGGTGGGGAATGGCCTTCTGGTCAAAATAGGAGACTTTGGCATGTCCAGAGATATCTACAGCACAGATTATTACAGGGTAAGAAGAATATCTTTGTTTTCATGCAAAACACTCAAATTAAACACTACGCTTAACCAGGACTCGAGATGTTTTGAAATCATGTTTGCAGTGCCAAATGAATGTGCCAGTATCAAACTGCGGGCGAAGACAGCAAACAGTTTGGTGCTAGGGTCATTTGTGTTACCATCATCAAAAATGTCTTCCTAGTAAAAAACAAAAACAAATTTCATTTGTAATGTGTTTGATATTGAGTGTCCCAGGTTTCAAAAGTAGTCTGTTGACAGTGGGGTTTTTTTGCTCACAAAATGCTAAATCGCCATCACACTATGGCCGATTCCAAGATAGAATAGAATCAAATGCAATCGAATTCCTTTATGGTCATTGCAACAAATAAAACAAATTGAAATAGCAACATGACACTGCATTTACACATCAAACGAGAATAGAAAACGATACATCTAAAAGATACTATATTTGGTGTGTCATGACAGACGGTGAGATTTTGAATTCTTGGTTGAATCAGCCAATAAATAGAGATATAAATCAAAAATGAATCTTAAATGTGTCTTTAACTGAATGTATTGTAGTGCTGATAGTATGTGTAAACAGTGCTGTTCAGTGTTTGACAGTATCCAGTTCACATATGGCTCTAGGGCAAAAGCTGTTTTGTATGTCTATTGGTTCGTCATTTAAAGGACCTGAGGGCAGAAGATCAAACCGATGGCGTCCAGTATGGGATGGGTCTTTTATTATTTTGCCTGCTGAGGCAGGGTAGCTGAATAGGTCCTCCAGAGAGGGCAGTGAGCCGCCGATAATCTTCGATGGCCCTCTGCATTCTAATTTATTGCTATTCACATGGACTGTTTATGGTGGCCACGGCATAGTAGGTAGACGATTGGTGGTTCATTCCCCGGCTCCTCTAGTTGGCCTTTTGTGTTCTTAGGAAAGATTTTGACCAAAGTGCTCATGAATGTATGTTAATGACCTTTAGATGATCAGTAAGTTGGCATCTTGTATTGAAGCCTTGCCATAAGTGTAGGGATGTGTGTGTGAAATAATAAATGTTCACATGTGAAGCTATTTGAGTTGTCAGTGAGTAGAAAGGCGCTAGAAAGTCTGTCACATCACTAGTGTCACATCCATTCAAGATGCAGTCACAAAGTTCCACAGATATAGTCCGGTCAAAATAAAGATCAAGGTCATAAATGGTTGCGGTCCAAGCAAGGCAGGGGGTAATAAAACATTCTTCTGTCTGTGTAGAAGAGGTTTGTCTTCATAGAAAACGGCAACAGCAGCTCATAGGGATTTTCAAAAGACTCTTTCAGCGCTGTAATTGGCTGGGTGGGAAATAATTTGTTTTTGGCATTAAATGTCAAAGCCTCCGTTGAGTCCCATCCTCCTAAGTAGCTTCAGTGGACGGGTTTCTTTGTAATGGCTCCAACATCTCAGCAGGGCAGCTGGTAGACAGCAGCAGGAAAGGCTGACTGACTTTTAATTTGATTCAAGCTCTGGTATCAGCAGTGAACTGGTTCCCTTGTTTATATTGCTCATGTGCATTCTCCTTGAGAAATGTCACTGACATAACTTGTTTTTTGCTGTTTTTATTGACAGTCTAATTCCGTTCATGTCTTAGAAAGTAGAATCCCACATTCTGAACAGGCACACGGAGACTCCCACTGGAGCTGATTAACATGCAGCCCCTGTCTCCAATCCAGGCTCAGGCAGCCAAACTGATGGAAGATATCATTTTCCTTCGGATTTTCTCCTCCATGTACAGACGGAACTCTGTGTGCAGCTCATACTGAGCAGATTGATCATCCAGGACTTCAGGGTCAAACAGAGTGCTAACCTTTGTCCTGCAAGCCTGTGGCTGTTCCCAATCGGGGCATCAAACCGTAAAAATGTCAAAAAACTAAAGATGCAATCTCTACCCTTGTAGCAGCTCAGTTTTGAACTTTGGACTTGGTTTTACTGCTTGACCTAAATGGCAAATGGATTGCATTTATATAGGGATTTTCCAGCATTTACGACCCCTCTAAGCGCTTTTACACACACAAGTCACCATTCACACACCTTTGGCCATGCCATTGCAGGTCATTTGGAGTATATTTAACATAACGAGAGGTGGACTGCAATAACTGGAGATGGAACCACTGACCTTGCAAATGGTAGACAACCACCACCTTTTTTGTTATTTCTGAATAATAGTAAAACAAATTTAAAAAAAAGATTCAGTTAATTGTGGTATTAAACTTTTAAAACCTGGAAGCAGTGAATGTACTTGTGGATAATATGAATGAGTGAAACAATAATGCTGCATTCGCACAATACACAATTTGCTCTTTGCTCACCAAGACGTTTTGGCACAAAGCATTGCGCTGAAAACAGACAGTTTAGTTTGGTTATATCTCTCACAGGCTCCGCCCTCTACTGGACTCTATGGGTACTACCCTCTATGCAAGCATTCACCTACTGAGACTTCTATAGACGTAGCCGGCCCCGGGGCGGGCCTACCTGAATAAGCGCGCATCTCACCGTATAAAAGGAGGCCTCGCCTCCTGACTATCATCCCTTTATCTTCAGCGAGCGGGCAACATCTGAAGCAGAGATAAGACGTTTGAAAGAAGAAGAAAGAGTTGTCATACCTCCAGGAGATAAGGTCCTTCGTGCCCTGGCTTAAATAGCGGGCGCCGATCCCCACCACCTCTACTTCGCGTGTTTGGGGGACCAGGATATGGCCGAGGCGGTGCCATTCACGTTCACCATTCCTTCCGGGTCCGGCGTCCATGGAAGTCCACCGCCCAGGGCTGTACTCTCCCTGACTGATGATCATGGCGGCGGGTGTGTGCGCTACTCATGCTAGAGATGCCTCACCAGGTCAGAGCGATTATTGGGCCGCAAGGCCGAATAAGTAGCTTGGTCCACGGGCCTTGCCCCAGGCCCGGTTCCCCCGGGGACCGGTGCCTTTACATGATATAGGGTCGACCCTACTTCATCACAGGCCGCCGCCACTGCCCACCGTGTGATGTCCCTGGGATATCACGCCGCATGGCATTTTTCCAAAGAGGACTGTGTTGATCTCCTGGGAGCCCCCGTGTTTACGGAAGGGCTCTATGGATCGATCTCCTTGCTCACGGGATTAGGAGTAATCGCAGCGTGGCTGATTCGAGGGCGGGCTGCAGTGCGTTCAAAGACCTCAGTAGAGAGAAGAGTCACTGCAGCGCGCACTCCTCCTCCACAGGCTTTCCTGCAGACGAGGGAGCGCAGCGCGACGGTGAGAGGAAGGGAGAGGTGCCGGCACGGAGATCCCGTGCCCTCCACCACTTTGAACCACCCCGTGGAACCGGCGAGCCGGCACTCACAGGGACGGGCTGCCCGTCTTTACGGATCTGACTGGCGGGGGGAGAAAATCTCTCCGCCCGGGACGAGAGGGCGAATCCCGCCTCCTCCCTGTATAATGCACAGATCACTACGTTTTCTAATAAGAATGAGGTTGATCTGTATCAAGTGAATGGAAACTCAGCTGTGTGCTAACAAAGTGGATGGACAGGACGCTGAAACGGGGCTATTCACTCAAGTTTTGCAGCGTCCCACTGTACCACATGTCTATACACTGTACCACTGTATCACATGGACCACTGTCTTGTGGGTGTCCCACACCCACCTCCTTTTATGGGCATGCAAGAGGTAAATCTGTCCTCCCGGGAGGAGATGTGTTCCTCTCAGTAGATTCAGGCTCTGGTGCAGAAACAGGCTGTGTCTGTTGTGCACCCTCAGCACAGAGAAAAGGGTCTTTATTCCATGTACTTCCTGGTTCTCAGGAACACAGGGGAATTCATACATATTCTAGATCTCCGCGGCCTGAATCGCCACATTTCCTGCAGGAAATTCCGCATGTTAACTATGAAACAGTTACTGGGGCTTGTGCAGCCAGGCGATTGGTTCACCACCATCGACCTGAAAGATGCGTACTTTCATGTAGAAATTGCTCCAGAGCACAGAAAGTGTCTGCGGTTTGCCTTCCAGGGGATAGCCTACGAGTACAACAGGCTATCTCTATCCCCATGCACATTCAGCAAATGTGTGGCCACAGCGCTTCAACCGCTGCGCGCCCACGGCATGAGAGTTTTCTTTTACTAGACGACCTCATAGTCATGGCTGGGTCCCGGGAACAGGCAATGTTTTGCACAGCACAATTGATCACACACCTAACCAAATTAGGCTTTGCGATCAATTGAAAAAAGAGCACCCCCATACCTCACTAACAGGTGCTGTAGTTGGGAGTGGTGCTCGATGCAGGCGTGCTACGGGCCACCCTGTCAGAGAGCAGAAGTGCGTCCCTTCTCCGGGCGGTTCACAGGCTGCGACAGGGGGCGACAGTGACAGCTTTAACTGTCATGCAGACTTTGAGTCTCATGACGGCTGCTCACATTGTGGCCCCGCTGGGGTTACTGCGTATGCGCCGCCTACAGAGGTGGTTCTCCAGCCTGCGTTTGGATCCCAAGAGGCACAAACGGCGGCTGGTGACCAACCCCCCCTCAGTGGAGGGCAACCTCCGGTTTTGGGGGTCCCCGGATCACCTCCGGAGGGGGTCTCCACTAGGACGGATGACCTCCTACATCACAGTGTTCACGGACGCATCCAGAACAGGATGGGGAGGGACCTGCCTGAAGAGGGCTATAGGTGGGCGCTGGGCTCTTACAGAGTCTCGACATAGCAACCTCCTAGAGCTACGGGCGGTAGTGTTAGTCCTCCAGCATTTCATGCCCCTAATTCAAGGGAGACATGTAATGGTCAGGAGCGACAACAGCACCACAGTGGCTTATATCAACAGGCAGGGCGGAGTCCACTCCGCCACGCCCATAACCACAGCGGAGAGGCTGTGGTTATGGGCTTCAGAGGTGGTGTTATCTCTGAGAGCCCTCCATATCCCGGGACTGGAGAACAGGGGGGCCGACCTCATGTTGAGGGGCGGCCCCCTGCCAGGCGAATGGACGCTTCACCCGGAGGTGGTGAAG